CCCAAGACGCAAACAGCAGCAGCTGTTGCACTCATCATCTCCATGTTCTTTGTCTCTCTCTGTGTGTCCTTGGCTCTCCCCTCCCCTTTTCTCCCTCTTCCGCCATACTCGCCTCACAAACCACCAGAGCAGGTTCATCAACACCAGACCAGACCAGTCCAGTCCAGTCCAGTGTCCGTTGTTGAGCTCGCACATTCATCCTTATCAGCAAACCCGCATGCCCCTGGCAGCCGCACTAATGCAGGTGAAGTCGGCCGTCATCTTCCTGTTCCCAAAGTCCACCGGCGGCGTCCAACGGCCTGGACAACACTCACGGGCCTTGCAGCCCTGCCGTCCGTCCCGCCCAACCCCTATCCCCATGATACGGATCGTAGTGAACTTCCTGAACGGCCCAAGGCTGCTTTGCACGTAATGCCCGAACGGCCGGTCCTCATCTTCTGTCCAGAGTGTTCTCTGCCCTCCGCCGGCCTCCACTGCATCGCTTCATTTGCCCCATCCAGAAGCTGCCCATTTCTTGCATCGGCCCATCGCCTCTGGTGGCCCATTGCACCCAAAACTACCCTGCCGTGCCATGCGCAGTGCATGCATCAATCCAACAATCCTTGATATTGCACTCTCCGCTATATACCAGGGGCACCACAATTGCTACTACGGAGTACTGCGGCCGACCGACCTGTTGGCCCTTGAGATGGTGCTTGGATCCGCGGACATCGGCTTCAATCCTTCGATGCTGGGTTCCAGAGCAGGGCGAGGGCGAGGGCGGATGGCACGCGCAGGACGCCACATCGCGTGAGCTCGGCGAGGACGGCCACCACCACCACCACCTTACCCTTCGCAAGGTCTTCCTCCCGGAGTGGCGGCCGGTGGTGACTTTATGGCGTCGGAAAGCAACACTACTAGAGCCGGATCAGCGGCCCAAAAGGGGAATCGTCGAGAAGCATGGTCTCCGCGTTGCGAGTGAGAGATGGGAGCATTCTGGGGCTGCCATGCTGCAGAGGACGCACCTCACCTCACCTCACCTCACCTCCTGATTGTCATTGCCATCCAGCTTCTGCCCACCGGTGAAGGTATGTAGTTAGTTCCCCGTTGGCTAATGGGATTTTTGGAAGTTCCAAAATTTGCATCCCCCACCCGCCGCTCGTGTCAAGGGGTCCTGGACATGGCCCCGCGTCATCATCGCTGGCCCTCCCCTCTGTGCGTTCTGTCTTCTTTGACTTGGGCTGAACGGATGGCCCGTGGAGGAGCTTGTTTGCAAGAACAGATGTTTGAACGCCCGCTTCTCGTGGCCCGGGCTGTCATTCTTGGGCCGGAGGATCAGTCAACTCAGTGAATGCTGGAAGATAGTGGCTTGCTAAGGACCCTCGACCCCCCTGGTGATCCAAGCATCTTGTTCTCCAGGCACGAATAGGCAGACTGCCCGTTGTTGAAGGATCACCGAAAGCCCAAGGGGGCGGTGCAGGAACACATACGCTTTCGCAGAGTACCAGCACCACCACCGTCGTCAGTCTGATTGAGCGCGCTCCCCGGCAGACAGGCCAAACAACAATGGGCATCACCGGACGAGGGAAAGAGAGCACGGCCGGAAGGGTTCAAGTCGCATCCCGTACGTGCGGACCAAGGCCTGGAGGTAGCATCGTCTCCCCCCCCGCCGCGCCGCCGGTGAGAGGTGAGTAAGACTGAAGTTAATACTTACAACCAAGGTTACCGATGAGGTTGCTTTGCTTGGCAAGCCACCACCCACCGTCCCAAGATAAGCTACAAAACAAAGAACGCCAGGGCCAGTTTGACAACTTTTCGTAACGTAATGGATCCAGAGCGTCGGGCTCCGAGTCCCTCCACCCCTCGTCGCTCCCATCCGATCCCATGCTCTCCCATTCTCCTCCATCGACGCGGAAAGCCGCAGCAGAACGCCAGAGAGAAGCCGAAGACATTCTGTTTCTCTGTGCCACTCCCACGCCGCCCCGCGCCCGCCCAACCACGTTTTGCTGCCCATGTTCATTTCCAGACTTCTCCAGAGCATCCGCGCCGATCGTCTGCCAACCACATGGCGAGCCCTTTAGGGTGATCAACGGGGACTTGCAAGGAAAGCCATTGAGACTAGCAATTGACAAGATGCCTTTCGCAATTTCTCTGTGATTCTTTCTTTCGGATTTTCAAACTCTGTTCCTGCAGCACTGCGGCGAATCGACCGATTTGCGCCCGCAGACTTGACTGGCGAGAGGAACCAACAGAGAAACATGGGAATGTCAGCAGCACTGCACTGAACGAGCACCTCTGTCCCAGCCTCCGTGCCAATTTCTCATCTGTCACATTTTCGACTCCTGCTTGCCCCCCTCATGCACTCCGCATCACCATCCTGCGACGGCCCAGATCCCCCTCGCTTGCAAGTGTTTGGCATTCCAGCGGGCGTTTCTTCGTTTCACAACAAAGAAATCTTGTAAGCGATGATTGCCATTTCGCAAACGTGGTCTGTTACGATGCCATCACCGGTTTTTCATGCCTGCGATGCGTCTGCTACGTTGCACGCTGCACTCACCGCAATGAGTCAACTTTCAGGCCGGTCTGTCAACGCATCGATGTTCGTGGGGGACAATGATCATGATGAATGTATCCGGGGAGATAGAATGGTGGGTAGTGCCGGAGAACGCCCCGGGACAGAGCCACTTTGCTCCGGACTGGGCCGAGGCATGCCGGCGTCGTGTCCCCGCTCCCGCTCATAGGCACTCCGGGTGGATACCGCAATCTCCTCCGCGCCCCGGGGCTCTTCCGGGAGAGCCCGATGATCACTTCCGGTCTGGACACAGCGGGCCAGGAAACGGCGGACTGGGGGAATGGGGGCCGCCCGCGTGCACGGCACCAACGATGGCCTCCGCCCTCCTCTCGTTCCGCCCACGACCTGCTGGCCAGGTGGAAAGGGCAGAATTCCGACCGAAAGGGGCCCTAGGAGTATTTCTCTCATGCAAAACCCACGCGGCGCCCACACTTTTTGCCCACATCTTCATCCACTTCACCCCCGATTCTATTTCCCGATTCCCCGAGCGCCGCACCCAAAATCGACAAGTGACCGACGATAACTCCATCACTCAGACATGCACCAAGTGGCACTCGACTCCTGAACCTCCGGAACTCGGTCTCGGTAGTGGAAGCCGAGTTTGTAGAGTAGTCCGTCGTGAGAGCTTCACCCATCTTGAGAAGTCACTGAACACAACCTAGACTTAAAGCGCACCCATCCCAGCAACGTAAACCCGAGTCAGGAGAGCAATCTATCGACCGGCTCACGCGGGAATACTTGCTGCCGTTCGGTCCGCGACGTGGATGTGCCGTCACGTTATTCCCAATCTCCACTGAATAACGTGCGTGCAGCGATAAAACAGAGTAGAGCTTAATTTTCCCCCTCACCCACCCAAAGCTCCGAGCACCGCTGATCATCAGCGGTGATCGCGTTGATCCGGTCCTGTCAACCGAATATCAACAGCGAGAACCACATATAACTAACCATTCGAGAATCAAGCTTTAGACAAGACGAAAAAAAGATGGGATGAAGGACTCTGAAGAAAAGAATAAAGAAGAACCACTGTCTTTGCCACTAATTTGCCCCCTTTCCCCTCGTGCTGGACCCTCCTCGGCTCCAGATACGATACCACCGCGGCCGGCCAAGTCCCAAAAACCGACCCCAGGATGCGGTGCTTTTCCGAGTCTATCGCGTTTGAGAATGGCCAACACCCCCTGCAAGTGGACTGCACTGGGCAAAAAGCCCTCTCTTTGGAGGAGTTTTCCGCCCTCCTCCCAGCCAAGAGGGATTCGATGCAGAGTTTCAACGCAAACTGGCGTTGGCTTTCAACCCGTGCAATTTCAATGTTCCGGAATCCTCCCCCACCTGATTCGAGCGCTTGAGCTGCATCTGACGAGCTGTCAGCGACCTTTGGTGTGCCACCTCATGTGCTTCCCGACGCAGGCACGATCGCCAAGGCGGCACTCGGAATCGTCTTGTGATGTCTGCTGCAGCACAAGCGCCGGTAACGATTTGCCCGTCTGAACACAAACGGGAAAGTCAGCTCAAAGTCTGGGGTTGACGGCTTCGTTGATACGACTACAAGCTGCACATGGCCATGTAGAGTTGCATGCTGCAGAGCCGGCACTCGGAATCCCCAACTTTCACAATCCCCAAATTCCCGTCACTGAGGCCCAATATTTCCATGTTTCCCCCCAAAATGCTCCAGTTCACGGCGAATATACAGCAAACGCACCGCGGCTACTGCTCTTATTCATGCGGCTTGGCTCTCATGCGCACCACTGGGACGACGAGAGTTCGCATTTCCTGCCCTATCCGGGTCGTCCGTCCACTCAACCTCCCCTCCCCCCCTCCTGGGTCTGTGTCTCTATGGACCCCTAGCTGTTTCTTTCCCGGTCTCTCTCCACTGTCAGCGGCACGCACGGCAGTTCCTGGCTCTTCGATGTCGCCTTGAAAGCTTAGCCCAGACAGTTTGCCCGTCCTTCATTGCTCATTCGGCCCCGGTCCAGCACTTTTCGAGTCTAAACCGGGCCCACGGCAGGCTGAGCTTAGATATGCAAGATCGGACGACTGCAACATTCAAGCCCAACCCTTCATCTCATTGATGGAGTCTTCCCTGGCGGCTGCTCCATCTATATTGCCGTCTTCCCATCACCAGCCCAGGTGTCTCCCAGTCCTCGAGGGCAATTTCCGCCAATAGGGATGGTCAGTGGATGTCTTCGACGAGAGTTGTCCCTCATGCTCCCTCCGACAACCTGGTTCTAACCTTGTCCCGAGCGATGGCATTTGCTTGACGAGAGATCTCGGCCCCATCCACCGCTGTCAGGTTGATCTCGTCCCGGTGCTTGGCGGTATATGTATCGTGACATTCCCATCGTCGTTTGTTTCGGCTTTCCCCTACCTCCCACCGGCCTCTCTCTTCGCACCAATCCACCACCACCACCACCACCACCCTCGTTTCAGCCGCTTGCTTTTCTTCTTCGTCGACATGCGTTTCGGTTCCGTCTTCTCCCTCGCAGCTGCGCTGCTAAGCGCCACAATCCAGGCTTACGGCAACCCCGGCGCTTGCTCCGGCCGGTGCTGGTCTCACGACCCTTCCGTCGTCCGCCGCGACTCCGACGGCACTTACTTCCGCTTCGAGACCGGCAGCAAGATCGGCATCTGGAAGGCTCCCGACCTGGTTGGCCCGTGGACCTACCAGGGCGCTGCTCTCCCGTCGGGTAGCAAGATCAACCTCAAGGGTAACGACGATCTCTGGGTAAGTCGGAGTAGTGTTTCACAACCCCTCCTCTTATCACAAAATCGGATGAACTCGTCCCCCCGCACACAAACGAACATGTCATCCAGCCAAGACATCTTACCACAACCAGACTGGCCCATAGGAAGCTACACATACTTATTCGAATCTGCTCTTACATAGGCCCCTGATGTGAACAAGGTCGGTGACCAGTACATCCTCTACTACACCGTCTCCTCCTTCGGCGTCCAGGACTCGGCCATCGGCTATGCCACCTCTCCCACGATGGAGTACGGCTCCTGGACCGACCACGGCGCCACCGGCGTCGCCTCCAAAGCCGGCAGCCGCTACAACGCCATCGACGCGAACCTCGTCCAGACCGGCGGCAACTACTACCTCAACTTCGGCTCCTTCTGGTCCGACATCTTCCAGGTGCCCATGACCAACGGCGGCGTCAAGGCCAACGGCAACCCCTACAACATCATCCTCAACACCACTGCGCCCCAGCCCGTCGAGGGCGCCTTCGTCTACGAGCGCAGCGGCACCTTCTGGGCCTTTTTCAGCTCCGGCTCCTGCTGCGGCCTCGACAGCAACCGCCCCTCCCCCGGCAACGAGTACAAGATCTTCGTCTGCCGCGCCACCTCCGTCGCCGGGCCCTACACCGACAAGAGCGGCAAGAGCTGCACTGCCGGCGGCGGCACCCTCCTGCTCCCCAGCCACGACAAGGTCTACGCCCCCGGCGGCCAGGGCGTCTTGGTCGACCCCAAGCGCGGCGCCGTCCTCTACTACCACTACATGAACACCGACATTGGCTACGCCGATTCTCAGACCCAGTTTGGCTGGAACGTCATCTCTTGGTCTGGAGGCTGGCCTTCCGTCTAAACGTCTCGATGGCTACTTACACGGCGACAGTTTTCAGGGGTGATGGTGGTTTATATTCTTCTTGTCAATATTTGAGTCCAGTGCATATACAAAATGGACTGATATACCTTTCACCGTACGACGTTCAGCATTAACGTATTGTTTGTTCTTTGTTTTGCCGCGCGGAAACTACATTCACATATCTGTCCCACTCGCAGTGCCTCACTTGTCTGGCCAAGTCCTCAAGTTGAGAGGCCCATAACCCTTGTCCGTCGGCCGTTGTTTAAGGCAGTTCTCCAGTTTTCCCGCCCTCGAAGTCTTCCGGGCGCCGGCGAACTGGCGGATGTCACCCTCCAAAGGTCCCTGACTCCAATATCAGTTGTGGTATAGGTGAAGTCTAACAGAAGAGTTCCATCAATCCATTGGGACGATTCATATTGTGAAAATCAGTGTGGTCTGGCCGGAAAGCATGAAGTAAAACTGATTTTGAATATTTAGTGTGTCGATCAAGAGCCTTGAGAAACAGTTTCCACCAAGCCTCCGTCAGGCATATAATTCTAACAGGAAACATGTTGCAAGTTGTGAAGTTGGTGTCAGCTTCACTGGCAAGTCTTTTGTCAGAGACAGACCACTGACACTCCGATTTGCTGAGTAGTGTTGAGATTTTCAGCGTCAAAAAAGGGACCAGTTGGTTCAGAACTTAACAATACAGCAAGCAAATATCATGACGTGATAGCTCACATAGACAAATTCTCATTGTGGTTTTTGAGATGAACTGATATCATTATTAACTACACTATGCTCTATGCAATACCCTGACTACCAATATTCGTTATGGTCATCATCAGGTTGGTCATTAGCCGATGCCTCTAGGCTCTCTCGCAATCATCTACAATCATGGATGGCTTCGTCTAAAACAGACCGAAGCAGTTGGCATAGTAGGTCACGGTCGCACTCCAGTCGGAGAAGACAGCGTCAACACCAACATCCTGAGCAAGAACGTGGAGCAGATTGTAGACGTCGCCGTCGTTGTTGGTGACGTTGGCGATGGAGGTGTAGTAGTAGCCGCCCTTGGATCCGTCGCCCAAGAAACCGGAACGCTCCAGAGACCAGGAGACGAGCTTGAGACCCAGCTCCTTGGCCTTCTTGGCGTAGCTGCTGGGGACAATCTTGCCATCCTCGACGGTGACGAGGTAGTAAAGAGGGGGCGCCATGATCTTGACACCTGCGGCAGCGAACTCGGTGAGGTTTGCGACGGCTCCGGGGAAGGTCTCGGGGGTGTCACCGCTCTCGTCGAGGAGGACAGCCTGCTTGCCGAACTCGGGCTCGGCCTTGAGCCAGTAGAGGACGTCAGGGTACCAGAAGGATTGAAGAAGAACGCGCTCAGGGGCGATGCCGGCCTCTTTGTACTCGTTGACGATCTGCTGAGCGTACATCTCCTGGGTGTAGTTACCATCGAAGGGCATCGGGACCTCGGGGAGCTTAAGCTCGGGGGTGAACTTCAGACCAAGGTCGTTGGTCAGGGCGATGTGCTCCTTGTGCGACATGACAGTGCCGCAGGTGGCGTACAAGTCGGTGCGGTAATTCGGGGTGCCGTGGAGGAAGGCCTCGGGCGTGGTTGCAGAGGCGTTGAAACCATCCATCTTGCTGCAGAGCGACTTGAACTCGGCGAGAGTGATGTCTGAAGTGCAGCACTTGGCGGTAGCAGCTGTGCCGTTGGAAGCAGCCTTGAAGGGAGTGGTGCACTTGTCATTCAGCTCGGGAATGGCGACGATATTGGTCGTGGTGTGGAGGTCGCACTGGGAGTGACGGCACACCAGCTCGCGGTCCTTGGTGAAGGCGACGTCGCATTCGAGGACGCCGGCACCCATACGGGCACCCGCCAGGTTGGACTCGACGGACTCCTCGGGAATCATCATTGTGCCGCCGCCACGATGACCAATGCTCCAGCTCGAAGCCTTGATGGGCTGCTCGGTACACGACTGCAGCTTGTCCTTGAGGGGGCCTTCGTCCATGTCGTTGACCAGCCAGTAGGGTCTCGGGCCCAATTGGATGTTGGTGATGGGCTTGTAGACCGGTTCCGACTTGTTGTCCGACCTCGGGTACGGGACGGCACCGACCTGACGGGCAGCGGCGGCAACAAGGCCGGAGACGACGACGGAGGAGTAGTGCATGTCGACGGTCGAGGAGGGTCAATTGACTGTGGCCTGGGAGACAACGAGCAGACACGAAACTAGGCGATCAGCTGGGGAATCCGCTGATGTGAGGCCGAGGACTTGGAGAGCTGGAGCTGGAGCTGAAGGGACAGGAAGCTGGCAGACGACAGCTAGCAACGAGGCTGGCGCGGCGATCTTTTTGTAGGAAAGATGGGATTTCCGCCAAGAAGGATAGCTGCGCAACCATCAGCGAGAACCCCGCTGTGGGATCCATAATCTGATCGCTGCTGCATGTTTTGGTCTGATAAAGTAGGTTGACGGGTTCGTACGGGGAAGCAATGGGTCGAGATTGGACGAGAATTCAAGGCACACCGTCGGGCGACATGCTTGTATTCGGCATGGCCGTCGCGGTGCTGCTCTGCGGAAGGGCGGAAGGGCTGGCAGGTGGGCCGTAGGATCAACTGGTTATCAGCACGTGGTGATGGTTCCGGGGTGCATCTGGCAGACCGAGCAGAGCAGGGTGAGCAAACGGAGGCTTGGCGGGAAGGGTCAAGCAGCGTGTTGGTGAAGCGATGACGGCCTCTGTCGGGATTGAGCGCAGGTGCATTGAGAAAAGATGTGTGCAAGGAAAGGTTGGACGTGGGGTTCACGGCGTTGGAGGGAAGCGCCCGGGATCAGTGTGCATTCCGTTGTGAGGGGTTCCCGGGGTACGTATCCACTAGTGCCGTTGGACGGCCCCACTGCAGCTGCGGGAGGCGCTGCGTGTCGCCGGGAAGCCTCCTCATTCGCCAATTGACCGACCGAAGCTCGATAAGGAAGCTGCTGGTCGAGATGCTCTTTTCGCCGAGGCACGAATATGCGCTGCGGTTTCACTTACTGCTGACCTGGCTGATACACGAGTCTTGCTTTTGACGTGGACTGAGGTGGTCACTCTTCTTGTTGAGACCGAGTTGACAGACACCCACCAGCTTGGTACGTACGGTTTGCAGCTGGAGAACCCTCAGCCCGGCGGCTCCTCTAACCATGTCAAGGTTTGCATGCTAATCTTACAGTCTCCAAAAGTATGTCAAATGCGGGTTCTGCCAAGAATCCCATATCAGCTCCGCGAGTCAGCGGAATCTGATAGGGCGACTGTCAGAATTCGGTCTTGTGCAACATTTCCCATATGGGTCGGTATGTCAGCTGTGAGACGACATTCGATTAACTTCAGATCTGACCAGCATTTTCGGAGTACGCAATAAATGAACATCACTAACATATAGAAGATTGAGCCAAGATAAGATCGCAATTGAATGTACAAAGTTGTAGCACAGGGACTAGTTGATGCAGGTGTGGAAAATCATCGGAGGCGGCATTCATGATGCGGAGACTGGAGACAACACCTAAACAACGGTACGATCCAAAGTATGCGACAATATCACAAGCATTATGTCACGGAAGAAGAAACCAAAATAGATCAAAGTGATTATTATTGGCAAAAGCTGCCATGTCTGCCGCCTCAAAATCCAGCCATCCTAACGCCTCGAACGACAGATACTAAAGCCCATAACTCCGTTTCATACTCGAGGGGGTATTTCCACGTCATTCGAAAGGCCGTTGCATATCAAAACATGAAATCATCCACCACATCCTTCCTTTCGTCGTCATCTCGTCGTCAACTGAACATTGGTTGAGTTGATTTAAGCACCGGGGTAGGCGTGGTTGGCCTTGGTGCTGTGGCCGCGCGAGCGCATGGCCTCGAGGGTGTCGAGAACAGTAAGGAACATGAAGATGGCCCAGATGAAGAAGGCGAACGCAACACCAGCCTGGGAAGAGCCGCAGTAGGTGTTGTTGCCGCAGTTGGGGCTGCCGACGAAGACGGCGTAGGCGATGGCACCGGCGAACCAGAAGATGGTGGTGATGACGAGGAGTGCCAGGGAGACCAGCTTGTGGAAGAGACGGGTCATGTACAGAGGGGTAAGGCCGACGTAGGCAAGGACGAGCAGAGACCAGACCGAGTTGAAGATGATGAAGTTGACGATATCGGGTGAGCGGGACCAGTTGCTAAACCAGCTGTGGTAGGCACTGGCGACTGTGACAAACTTAGTGATAGAGCTGTGGCACGGTGGAGCAGTCAGGCATACCATAGGCAGTCAGGCCGAGCTCAATGATAGAGAAGACGGCAGCCACAATGTGGGCGATAGGAACGAATCCGAGAGCCATAGCGACGTTTGCGATCCTTGTCTTGGTGTTTGATGGTGTGTGAGAGGTGGTGTTTAGGTAAGCTTAAAAGCTGACGAGGATGTCTGGCGCAAGAGAGTGTGTTGGTTCTGTTGGTTGTGGAGTGAGTGAGTGATCAGGGAATGGGTGGAAGAGGCGGCGACGGTGAATAAGTAGTAGTCCAAGGACAAGGCGAGCAATGACCAAGGACCAAGCACCAGAGATTTTTCTTGTCTGGGGCGTGTTGAAGGACTGGATGGCGTCAGATGAGGTCGGGTGGGCTACCTTACCTTACAAAGGCGGGAATGCAAGAGCTGCAGCGGCGCATACGCAGTACTAGGTACGGTACGGGAAGATTCGGTATGCTGGGCAGGCAGGAAGGACCCTGCTGCAGGCATGCTAGCTTTGTCGTCACATTTTGTCCGTCACTGCCGTTGGGCAGGAGAGAGGAGGCACTTTGCCTTGCAATAGGTTTAGGTGGCACGCCCAGGCCCCCGTCCCAAGTCGCTATTACTGCGGACGGAGGAGTTTGCTGCGAGTTGGTGATGTGCGCTGCGTAATGGGGTTGGGGCTGGAGGGCCGACAATGACGTGGTTCCAGCTTGACTGGCTACCATGACCTCATTCTTGATGCAGTCGACACGGTCCAACCAATGGGAGGCGGCGC